AAAACCCCCTCTCCATCCTTCCTGTCGGCCCCTGAGGCACTGGAAGCTGCTCTGAGGTCACCCCGCAGCCTTCTCTGCTCCAGGCTGAGCAGCCCCAGCTCCCTCAGCCTGTCCTCGGAGGAGAGGTGCTCCAGCCCTCAGATGATCTTCGTGCCCTCCTCCAGCCCCACTCCAACACATCCATGTCCTTCTGATGTTGGGGGCTCCAGAGCTGGACGCAGGGCTCCAGGTGGGGTCTGACGAGAGCGGAGTCCAGGGGCAGAATCCCCTCCCTCGCCCTGCTGCCCACGCTGCTCTGGATGCAGCCCAGGTTACGCTCGGCTTTCTGGGCTGCGAGCACACGTTGCCGGCTACTGTTTAGCCTATCCCCACCCCTTTTTTTCCCCCAAGTCCTTGTCCTCAGGGCTGCTCTCGAGCTGCTCCCCGCCCAGCCTGTCCTTGTGTTTGGGGTGGCCCCGACCCATGGGCAGGACCTTGCCCTTGGCCTTGTTGAACGTCATGCGGCTCACGCAGGCCCAGCTCTCCAGCCTGGCCAGGTCCCTCTCAATTCGAAAGCAGGAAGATGGAATTAAGTTATTAAGCTATATAGAAGGTACTGGAGTTTAAAAAAACCAAATTTTGATGTCAAAATGAAAATCTTCCTCTGAGGTTAGATTGGATGGTGTGAGAGAGAGTATCTCCAAGTCTGACTCCCGATACAGTGGCTTCAGGGGTGCCAGCGACACGTCCTTGTGTGAACTCCAAACCTGAGATGATTCCGGTGACCTTTGACTGCTGTCCTGAGCCGGTGGCAGTCGGGAGTTTAAAAAAACCAAATTTTGATGTCAAAATGAAAATCTTCCTCTGAGGTTAGATTGGATGGTGTGAGAGAGAGTATCTCCAAGTCTGACTCCCGATACAGTGGCTTCAGGGGTGCCAGCGACACGTCCTTGTGTGAACTCCAAACCTGAGATGATTCCGGTGACCTTTGACTGCTGTCCTGAGCCGGTGGCAGTCGGCGTTTCAGCAGGCGGGTTCGCTGTCTGACGCGCGTGGGGCTGACCTGTCCCTCCGCTCGCAGGCGAAGCACACGCAGGAGGGCAGCCAGACGTGGGGGGTGAACGGCGATTGCTGCTATTTCTTAGTGCAT